CTATCTATCTATCTATCTATCTATCTATCTATCTATCTATCTATCTTATATGGATCTATGGATGGATGGGTGGATGGATGGAGAGATAATCGATAGAAAGATATCATTCCACTCACCCATCCCAACACCAAGGGTTCTTCAATCGAGCGAGAAGGGCCAGGATTTTGAAGGCAAGATGTCACAACCCAAGACCTTCCAACCCAACCCAAGACCTTCCAACCCAACCCAAGACCTTCCAACCCAACCCAAGACCTTCCAGTATCTTTTTTCTTCTTCTCCCAGGAGCAAAAAACAGAGCCCCAGCCTCGTGTCTTTTACCTTCTCAAAGATGGCCTTGGTGACCGTCACATACTGGTGGAGCTTCTTTTCCCGTTCCAGGCGTTTGGCTTCGGCTTGCTCTTCCGTCGTCTTCACCTTCAGCCTTCCGTGCTGGGGGGGGGGGGGGGGGGGGGGGGGGGGGGGGGAGGGAAACCGAAGAGAGGCAGTTGAAGATGAGAGGTGTTGCTTGGGGGAAGCAATGAGGAAAATCAGGAAGGATCCATCAAACGACTAGAACTTGCAAACTTTTAAGACTTGTGGACTTCAACTCCCAGAATTCAACTCTTTCCATTCAGCCATTATATGTCCATCCATCCATCCATCCATAGCAGCATAGCTGACTGGAGAATTCTGGGAGTTGAAGTCCACAACTCGTAAACTTGCCAAGTTTGGAGACCACTGGATTAGACAGAAAACTCACCATCTTGACCGACTCCGAAGAAAAGAGGCGAAGAATGAATCGTCTATCCTAAGAAACTGAAAGGAGATAAAGAAATCTCAGTGATGTTTGCAGGTCAACCATCCAGCAGACAAGCTGAGGATTATGGGAACTAGGGTCCTAAAGAGAAGAACAAACTTGGGGATCTGACGCAGTCTTGACCTTTCAGATGAGACATCAGGTTTACAACAAACCGCGCCATTTTTTTTAAAAAAGTATAATTTTCCAGTTTTCAATTTCCCAGCAATTCGAGTTCCCTCCCCGTTTGATCTTCCCACCAAGCCCAGAAACTTGACTGAGCTTAAACATGGCTTGTTTGTGGTTAGGGCCTGAAAGGAAAGGTGGAACCTGGTTTTTTACAATCTGGTGAGAAATCTGGTGCAACTATTATTATTATGCAAATAGATTTCCTTCCAACAACCTCACAAGTGAAATTCAGGAGCAATAAAAAGATGCCTCCTATTGGTTAATTTGGGCGTCTTAACATCTTTTTTTTTTTTAAATCCAAAAATCTGAAGCTGGTTCGCTTCCCATAATGCATTGCCCATCATTGGGGGGCATTGTGGGAAATTTAAAAAAATAAAGAAAAGAAACTGGACTAGACCCAACCAGGCGGCAATCCTACCCCAAGGACATTGCCCCAGGCTCCTTAAACCCCAGATATTGTAGCTAGATTTGTGTTACACCTAAACCAGGTTGCAAACGTGGTTTGATCATTTATCCAAGCTCAAGCCACTGTTTTGGGTTCAACCATGTTCAACCAGCCAAGCATGAGTTCAGCCAATCGTGGCTTCTTCAAGAAATGCAAAACATGCACAGCCTTAAACCAACATGCACACACGTTCCCTTTAGCACGTAAGCTTTTCGACGGGCTCAGAAAGCAAACATACTCGAACCAAACCTGGGGGCGGTAGTTTGAGGGCCCCCTACTCATTTTACCTTCATGCACAATCCCCCCCCCCCCCCCAATTGCCTTTGCATTAATGCACAATCAGCTACATTCAGAGAAGCCTCACCAATTCCTTTCCTAGTTCCTTCCCCTCCAAAAAGCCGCGAAGTGGTCTCTCCCGGAAATGTCTACATTGATTTTCTACGGGGCGAGACCATTCGGAACGCACCCGCGGGGGTGTAGAAGCGAAAAAGAGACGCAGGCTAATCCTAGCAGCCCCTAGGGGGCGATACCAACCGGACGGTGAGGAAAGAGGGGGATACGTGGAGAAAATGAAATCGGTCGGTGCCGAGTGGTCTCGTCCGCAGGGATTCGGCGAGCAAAACGGGTCCCTTCGGGCGAGTCCAATTGAGGGAGAGAGAGGGGAGATACGGATGGGAACTACCATTGATGTCCGAAGGCTATCGAGTTGAAACCTCCCGGCGGGACGGAGCGGTCTTGTTCTTAAAGGGACAGCCTCAGTTTTGAATTGTACAGATAGTGCTCTACTTACGACCACAGCTAACCCCCCCACCCCAATTTCTGTTGCTAAGTAAAACATTTAAGTGTCCTATTGTACAACCTTTCTTGCCACAGTTGTTAAGTGAACCACTGCAGTTGTTAAGTAACACGGTTGTTAAGTGAATCTGGCTTCCCCATTGGCTTGGCTTGTCAAAAGGAGATCATGTGACCTTGGGACACAGCAATGGTCATAAGTGTGAACCAGTTGCCAAGCTGTGTAAGTTGAGGACTACCTGTATTGAATGGAATCTCCACCCCCACCCCCCTTTCTTTCACACTCTTAAAGGAAGGAGAGTTCATTACAAACTCCTGTTGAAATGAAAGGTGGGCTGCTGGATTGTACTAAACATGGCCTGTTCAATAAATCACAATTACCTTGGTGTGCACTAACCTTGTTTCACAAACCAGCATAGCTGAGATTGCATGCAGAGGCCAAGCAATTACATACAATTTAGTGTTCGGTAAACCAGTGTTTCTCGACCTCAGAAACTTTAAGATGGGTGGACTTCAACTCCCAGAATTCCCTGCTATTTGAGGGGAACCAATCAAGGAGAGAACCAACCTAGAACTAAGGGGAAACTTTCTGACAGTGAGGACAATTTACCAGTGGAACTGCTTGCCACCAGAACTTGTGGGCACTCCATCACTGGAGGTTTTTGAGAAGAGACTGGACAGTCACTTGTCTCAAAGGGTATGGGGGTCTTCTGCTTGAGCAGGGGGCTGGACTAGAAGACCTCCAAGGTCCCTTCAAACTCTGTTATTCAACCAGTTGGTATCAGAATTTCACATTCTTGCTTGTTACTTCAAAGGGACTAGAAACAGTAATCAAAGGCGCTCCTCGTTCCTGGAAACAGTTATTCAACGAGGGTTCTCATCAGCTTCACCGAATCCGGGGCTAGATAAACAAATATATTATTCTGCACCCTTGTTTTCTTTGGCTGAAAGGAAAGTAACACATTCCTGGTACGTCTGCCAGCACCCCAGGGTTGTTTAAATATTTGGAATGGAAATAATAATTTCCAGGTACTTACAGGCTGACCAATCACCTGTCCCAGTTAATCAAATATCGGTCAGAAAGCAAACCAGAACATGATTTAGTGTCGCAAAGCTGAAAAAAATTCGATCGGTTTGGGCACCTGATCCGCAGGCTGAGGAAAGGACATGCAGTGCTCACCTGTACGGTAAATACCTCAATTTACAACACTTTGTTTAGCGAGCGTTTTACAACGACACTGAAAAAAAGGGACTTATGACTGTTTTTCGCACTTACGACCATTTCAGCACTCCCAATGTTATGTGTTCAAAATTCATGCGCTTGGCCACTGACTTGTGTTTATGACGGCTGCGGTGTCCTGGCGTCTCCGAATCTCCTTTTGCCAGCAAAGTCAATGGGGGAAGCCGGTTTCACTTAACAACTGTGACTCACTTAACAACTGCAGGGATTCACTTAACAAACATGGCAAGAAAAGTCATTATATGGGGCGAAAAATGCACTGAACAAATGTCCCGCTTAGCCACATAAATTTGGGGCTCTATTGTTGTTAGCTGAGGGCTACCTGGACATACACCTGAGCTAAGAAATGTGGCTTTTGAGTTGTGTCATGAAATGTTTCTCAACCTTGGCAACTTTAAGATGGGTGGATTTCGATTCCCAGAATTTCCCGGCCAGGTGGGTGAGGCTGGGAATTTGGGGGAATTTCCACGATTGAGTTTTCAAGGCCTCCCCTTAATCGCGATGAATTTACTCACCCTCTTCAGCAGTCGATCATGTCAGAATGTGAGTTTGCTATAAGCCGAGGACTTCCCACGAAACCTTAGCAAAGACAGGCTTACAACCCTTCACTGAGTGACGGCCTTCTCATTTCTTCTCATCTTCCTTCCTTCCTTCCTTCCCTCCCAGAGGTGGTATTCAGCAGGTTCTGACCAGTTCTGGAGAACCAGTAGCGGAAATTTTGAGTAGTTCGGAGAACCGGCAAATGCCGCCTCTGACTGGCCCTGCCCCGATCTATTCTCTGCCTCCCGAGTTGCAGCTGATCGGCTGGGTCTCCTTTGGTTGCTCTGCAATGGAGAGAATGGAGCTGGAAAGCAGGTTAGTGGGGTGGAGAGGGAATGGGGATTGTGCTTTCTCCTGCCACGCCCACCAAGCCACACTCACAGAACCAGTAGTAAAATGTTTTGAATCCCACCACTGCTCCCTCCCCATTCCTTCCTTCCTTCCTTCCTTCCTTCCTTCCTTCCTTCCTTCCTCCTCCTTCCTTCCTTCCTCCCCCTTCCTTCCTCCCTCCCTTCCTTCCTTCCTTCCTTCCTTCTTTCCTTCCTTCCTTCCTTCCTTCCTTCTTTCCTTCCTTCCTTCCTTCCTTCCTCCCCCTTCCTTCCTTCCTTCCTCCTCCTTCCTTCTTTCCTCCCCCTTCCTTCCTCCCTCCCTTCCTTCCTTCCTTCCTTCCT